TTTTCGGGAACAGAAAGCAGCTCCAGTTGGGAGGCCTGTAGTGTTTTGCTTTCAGTAGAATTAATTAGCGTGGTCAGACACTGAACTCAAGCACAAGCGCGGTCAGACACTGCATTAATTGTAAGAGCGATTAGACACTAGACTCCAGCATAAGCGCAATCAAAAACTGGACTCGGATGTATGCGTTGTCAGATAATGGATTTAATTGTAAGTGCAATCAGACACTGAACTCCGGAGTAAGAGTGATCAGACACTAGACTCCGGTGTAAGTGCAATCAGACACTAAACTCTGGTGTAAGTGCAATCAGACACTAAACTCCGGTGTAAGTGCAATCAGACACTAAACTCCGGTGTAAGTAAAATCAGACACTAAACTCCGGTGTAAGTGCAATCAGACACTAAACTCCGGTGTAAGTGCAATCAGACACTAAACTCCGGTGTAAGTGCAATCAGACACTAAACTCCGGTGTAAGTGCAATCAGACACTAAACTCCGGTGTAAGTGCAATCAGACACTAAACTCCGGTGTAAGTGCAATCAGACACTAAACTCCGGTGTAAGTGCAATCAGACACTAAACTCCGGTGTAAGTGCAATCAGACACTAAACTCTGGTGTAAGTGCAATCAGACACTAAACTCTGGTGTAAGTGCAATCAGACACTAAACTCTGGTGTAAGTGCAATCAGACACTAAACTCCGGTGTAAGTGCAATCAGACACTAAACTCTGGTGTAAGTGCAATCAGACACTAAACTCTGGTGTAAGTGCAATCAGACACTAGACTTTGGTGTAAGTTCAATCAGACACTAAACTCCGGCGTAAGTGCAATCAGACACTAAACTCTGGTGTAAGTGCAATCAGACACTAAACTCTGGTGTAAGTGCAATCAGACACTAGACTTTGGTGTAAGTGCAATCAGACACTAAACTCCGGCGTAAGTGCAATCAGACACTAAACTCTGGTGTAAGTGCAATCAGACACTAGACTTTGGTGTAAGTGCAATCAGACACTAAACTCTGGTGTAAGTTCAATCAGACACTAGACTTCGATGTAAGTGCAATCAGACACTAAACTCCGGTGTAAGTGCAATCAGACACTAAACTCTGGTGTAAGTGCAATCAGACACTAAACTCCGGTGTAAGTGCAATCAGACACTAAACTCTGGTGTAAGTGCAATCAGACACTAAACTCTGGTGTAAGTGCAATCAGACACTAGACTTTGGTGTAAGTTCAATCAGACACTAAACTCCGGCGTAAGTGCAATCAGACACTAAACTCTGGTGTAAGTGCAATCAGACACTAAACTCTGGTGTAAGTGCAATCAGACACTAAACTCTGGTGTAAGTGCAATCAGACACTAAACTCTGGTGTAAGTGCAATCAGACACTAGACTCCGGAGTAAGTGCAATCAGTTACTAGACTCCGGTGTAAGTGCAATCAGACACTAGACTCTGGTGTAAGTGCAATCAGACACTAAACTCCAGTGTAAGTGCAATCAGACACTAAACTCCGGTGTAAGTGCAATCAGACACTAGACTCTGGTGTAAGTGCAATCAGACACTGGCCTCTGGTGTAAGTGCAATCAGACACTAAACTCTGGTGTAAGTGCAATCAGACACTAAACTCCGGTGTAAGTGCAATCAGACACTAAACTCTGGTGTAAGTGCAATCAGACACTAAACTCCGGTGTAAGTGCAATCAGACACTAAACTCTGGTGTAAGTGCAATCAGACACTAAACTCTGGTGTAAGTGCAATCAGACACTAAACTCTGGTGTAAGTGCAATCAGACACTAAACTCTGGTGTAAGTGCAATCAGACACTAGACTTTGGTGTAAGTGCAATCAGACACTAAACTCCGGCGTAAGTGCAATCAGACACTAAACTCTGGTGTAAGTGCAATCAGACACTAGACTTTGGTGTAAGTGCAATCAGACACTAAACTCTGGTGTAAGTTCAATCAGACA